ACATGCATTTTTTATATATTTTTCATATATACATATATATAATATATATAAATATATGAAAAATTGATGTGTGTACTCAAATAGAAGGTTTTGATGAGCGTAACATCAAGATGAGCTTATATCTTCAAAAATGTTGATAATTAAAAAATTACATTGTATCTTGTGAAATATTGATATTTTTAAAGAAATAAGCTCATCTTGATGGTACACTCATTAAGAGTTTTCATTTGAGTACCCACATCAATTTTTTATATATTTATATATATTATATATATATATGTATATATATAAAGAATCTATATCAAAAATGCAAGTGGGTACTCAAATGAAAGCTCTTGAAAAATGTAACAGCAAGATGAGCTTATATCTTTAAAATCATCAATATTTTACAAGATACAATCTAATTTCTTAATTTTCAACATTTTTTAAGGTATAAACTCATTATTATGTTACACTCATCAAGCCCTTTCATTCAAGTACCCACATGGCACTTTTCATATATATCATATATATAGTATATATGGAATATATAAATATATAAAATATATGAAAAAATGATGTAGGTACTCAAATGAAAGCTCTTGACTCGCATAACCTCAAGATGAGCTTATATCTTCAAAAATTTCAATATTTACCAAAAAATAATCTAATTTCTTAATTATCAACATTTTTCAAGATATAAACCCATTTTAATATTACCTTTATCAAGCCCTTTAATTCAAGTACCCACATGGCTTTTTTTCATATATATATCATATATATAGTATATATGGAATATATAAATATACAAAATATATGAAAAATTGATGTGGGTACTCAAATGTAAGCTCTCGACTCGTGTAACACCAAGATGAGCTTATATCTTTAAAACCTTCAATATTTCCTAAAATCCAATGTAATTTCTTAATTATAGGCATTTTTTAACATATAAACTAATTTCAATGTTATCCTCATCAAGACCTTGAATTTAAGTACCCACATGACACTTTTCATATATTTCATATATATATATATATATATAGTATATATGGAATATATATATAAATATATAAAATATATGAAAAAATGATGTGGGTACTCAAATGAAAGCTTTCAATGAGCAATACTTACAATTTTGCTCCAAAATATTAATAGCCCAGTCGTACATCTTAAAACACTTATACAACGTCGCCAACTGAACCCTGGCATCAAACAGCTCCGGCGACAATTTAGTAACAATTTCATAAGCCAGAATCGCTTCTTTCAATTGCCTGCACCCAACATGACACTCAGCGTACCTCAACCAGACCGCAGGCATGCTGTAATTTTTGCACCTAATTAACAACTCCAAGAATTTTAGCGCTCTAGCGTACTCCTGGACGTGCATCAGCCCATCAACAATGTCTAAAAATAAATCTCCGAATTTTTCAGCTTCCTCATAAGCCAACAAAGCGTCCATGTGCCCCAAGACCTGTTTAGTGAATCCCAACTCGAGCATAGTGACGATGAACCTCACCTTCAAGTCAATCGGAGTGTCATCAGGAAGACAACAACTCTCTATTATCTTCCTCTCATCGTCACTGTACTTAACTCCAATTCCCGTGTGACTAATTAAAATGTCCAGACACCTCCGGAACTTCTTTAATTTTATCAAAAATTCAGCGTAGATATTCACGTCGTCATAAGTCACTCTGCTAGGACACTTGCTGAAGATCTGGTCCATCGCATTGGCAGCTTCTAAATAATTTTCTTTCTCAGTGTACATCTTAGCCAGCTTCTTCGCGTAGTGAACCAGCACTTCGTTGTCTTCAGTGTCGAGTTTCTTCAGTAATTTTTTGTAAGCTTTAAAATAAGCTTCTTCATCTCCGTTGTAATCTAATTGAAGCTTAGCGTATGATTCGTAGAGAGAGACGTTCTTGGGGTTGGAGGCTATTGCTTTTAAGTAGCAGGTTATCGCTTGGCGAAGGTCTCGCCTTTGGAGGGATTTGTTGGCCAGGTTGATCCACTGGTCGCAGTCCTTGGGGGATAAATGGGCAGCTATTAGGGCAAAGTGGAGCGCTTTTTCGGGATCCTCAGACTCGTAGATCATTGATAAGGTTTGATAAGCTTCTGGTGCTGATGGTACTTCTCTAAAAAATTTTAAATTAATTTTTGTTTATTATGTTTCTTATTTTTTATTTATTAATTTTTATTTCTTATTATTTATTTGTTACTTTTAAGTTTTTTATTTTTTTATTTATTATTTTTCATTTTTTTAATTGTTATTTTTGAATTGTTATTTTTTCATTTTAAATTAATTTTTTAAATTAAAAAAAAAATTACCTGATTATTTCCATACACATTCTGATAGCTACTTCATTGTGACCACGTGCGTATTGTAAGTTAGCTTCACCCATCAATCCTTTTAAGGCTGTAGGTAATTGTAGACGTCGATTTTGGTTTCTTCTACGGCGCTTTCGAGGTGGTTCTTTCGCCATTGATGGTTTTTTGTCGCTAAAAGTAATTTAGGAGATTTTTAAAAGTAATAATCTTAAGAAATGACCTTGTATCTTGAGAACTATTGACATTTTTAAAGATATAAGCTCATCCTGATGTTACTCTCTTTGAGACCTTTCATTTGAATACCCACATCAATTTTTCATATATTTTATATATTTATATATATATGAATATATGAAAAATATATTAAAAATACATGTGGGTACTTAAATGAAAGCTCTTGATGAGTATAATATTAAAATGAGTTTATATCTTAAAAAATGTCAATAATTAAGAAATTACACTGTATCTTATGAACTATTGACATTTTTCAAGATATAAGCTCATCCTGATGTTACTCTCATTGAAACCTTTCATTTGAATACCCACATCAATTTTTCATATATTTTATATATTTATATATATATGAATATATGAAAAATATATTAAAAATACATGTGGGTACTTAAATGAAAGCTCTTGATGAGTATAATATTAAAATGAGTTTATATCTTAAAAAATGTCAATAATTAAGAAATGACACTGTATCTTGTAAACTATTGACATTTTTAAAGATATAAGCTCATCCTGATGTTATACCAATGAAGACCTTTCATTTGAGTACTCACATCAATTTTTCATATATTTTATATATTTACATATATTATATATATATATGTATATATGAAAAATATATAAAAAATACATGTGGGTACTCAAATGAAAGCTCTTGATGAGTGTATCATCAAGATGAGCTTATATTTTTAAAAATATCAATATTTAAAAAAGTACAGTGCAATTTAACAATAGTCATTATTTAATAAAGCAAAATTTTATTTATTATTATAATTGATTTATTCTAAAAACAAAATAAAAATGACAGCTATCAGCTGTCATCAGTATGATAACAATAATTAAAATAAATATAACTCACTCAGCAACTTGTTGAGGATCTCCATCAGCACCTCTGTCCATCAGCAAAGAAAAGTCTGAAAAAGACATCTCGCCGTTGAGAAACTGCCTGGTAATTCTAGCTTCCTCCTCCGGAGTCATCGTCTGGTTGTCTTCATCATCAGACGCTTGTCCAGTTTCTATCACCAGATTGTTATCCTCTTCGTCTCTGTTTGAACTATCAGCTGGCAAGTGACAGATAGTCGCTTCTACGAATTCATTGATGTCAACCCGTAAAGCGTCGACCTGACTCAACTCTTCGATGATAACAGGAGCTATTTCCCCTGCTGGTTCCATTATTTCTTCAATTTCTGGAGTTTTGTCCTTCGTGTTCAATTCTTCCATCTTAGAAAATTTTTTACCGGTCTGAAAGAAATTTTAATTAAATTAAATTTGATTTTTAAAAGTAATTAAACTTATAGTAATTAAAATCAGCTGACATCTGACAATTTTAATTTTATTTTTAATAAAAATTACAATAATAAAAAAAAAAAAAATCTTTTTTAATAATTATTAAATGTGAATTTTTTATAATAATAATTTAGTAAAATTCTAAAAAAATTGACGGATGTCTTTTAAATTTGTGTTGTTAATTAAAAGTAACCTAAAAACAAAGTTTAACACGTGCGTGCTTAATAGTAAAGAATTTTAATAAAAAAAATTAAACTTATATTAAGCCAATAAAAAGTGTGAATTTTAATAAATTTATTCTTTTTTACCTTTTTATTTATTATTAATTTAGTATTTTGACAACTGGAGGATAAAATTTTTTTCTAGGGATTGTACCACTTCTGCGCAAGCGCAAATAAACACTAGTAATTGGTTAGAAACGTCGGTTTACTTTTTGAGTGTGTTACTTAGAAATTGCGCGGCAATTATGATTTTAGCATACTTTATTTAATTATTTGTTTTTTGTGAATGTCAAAAGTTAATCTATAAAATTTAAAGAATAAGGAAAACTAGCTCCTTTGCAGTCACTACGTGACTGCCGTGATTTGTGAACTATAAAAAATTTTAATTTTGCTTTATTAAATAATGAATTTTGTTAAATTGCACTGTACTTCCTTAAATATTGACATTTTTAAGATATAAGCTCATCTTAATGTTATAATTATAGAGAGCTTTCATTTGAGTACCCACATGCATTTTTTATATATTTTTGATATATACATATATATAATATATATTTTTAAAATATAAGCTCATCTTGATGTTACACTCATCAAGAGCTTTCATTTGAGTACCCACATGCATTTTTTTATATATTTTTTATATATACATATATATAATATATATAAATATATGAAAAATTGATGTGGGTACTCAAATGAAATGTCTCGACGAGTGTAACATCAGGATGAGCTTATATCTTTAAAAATGTCAATATTTCACAAGATACAATTTCATTTCTTAATTATTGACATTTTTTAAGATATAAGCTCATCCTGATGTTACACTCTTCAAGACCTTTCATTTGAGTACCCACATGACATTTTTATATATTATATATGTATGTATATATATATTATTTTTTTATATATACATATATATAATATATATAAATATATGAAAAATTGATGTGGGTACTCAAATGAAATGTCTCGACGAGTGTAACATCAGGATGAGCTTATATCTTTAAAAATGTCAATATTTCACAAGATACAATTTCATTTCTTAATTATTGACATTTTTTAAGATATAAGCTCATCCTGATGTTACACTCTTCAAGACCTTTCATTTGAGTACCCACATGACATTTTTTATATATTTATCATATATACATATATATAATATATATAAATATATAAAATATATGAAAAATTAATGTGGGTACTCAAATAAAAGGTCTCGATGAAAGTAACATCAGGATGAGTTTATATCTTTAAAAATGTCAATATTTCACAAGATAAAAGGTAATTTCTTAATTATTATAATTCTGTAAATAAAAATCATTTTTTACAAAAAAAAATTGCAAAATAAATAATATATATATTTACCTGATTACAATTTATTTCTAATTTTTTGTATAAAAATAATATAATTTTACATCTGATTATTTAAAATCTTATAAATTACTTCCGCCAATATTGAGCGAATTTATGCAATTGTTCAACCAGAGCAGCCATCACCGCAGTGACAGACAAGTCCAGTAAATTTTGTACATAGTGAACAGCTTCCTCATCGCTCAAATCCAGTCTCAGTTTATCCTGGACTTTTTTCACAGCTTTATCCGGCTCTAGAGCGATGTCTGGAACACTGGCATCGACCATCAGCGAGAACAAATTTAAAATCAAATTTGCGTGACGCCTCAAGTGCAGAAACGCTGTGTAGCACTGTTTCCTGAACTCGTGGTAGTGTTCAGAGCCCACGCCACCCATAGCTTCAACCATTTCTTTACTGAGCTTCATAGGAGGTGGCAGAGGTTTTGGGTCACGTCCTAAAATATATCCGAAGTCTATATGAAATAATTTACCTGAAAAATTAATTATTTATTTATCATAAAATATATATTTTTTTAAATTAATTAATAATTATTTTTTAATAAATCTTTTTAAAAAGTTTTTTATATTACCTGATGTGGTAAGTAATAAATTATCTAAATGACGATCTCCAACTCCTAGTACGTAAGTAATTATACAATAACCAGCACAGCTGCGGACGTAAGTATCCATAACTTCGGGAGCAATTCCGTATGGGCCAGTTTCTGATGGATGGTGCTTACGGAAGAAACTTAAGATTGATCCCTCGCTGGCTAAGACTTCAGCTACTGTGGTTGACTCGATAAATTGTAGAAAACCGTGGCGTGTACTTGTCGCCAAAACACTGAAAAAAAATTGTAAATTAATTCTGGTTTGTTCAATTTTTTTTAACAAATAAATTCGTTCCTACATATACAATATATATTATACCTATATATATAATACATATTATGAAAATATAAGCTCATCCCGATGTTACACTCATCAAAAGCTTACGTTTAAGTACCCACATGCATTTTTGATATATTTTTCATATATACATATATATAATATATATAAATATATAAAATATATAAAAAGTTGATGTGGGTATTCAAATGAAAGGTCTCGATGAGTGTAGCATCAGGATGAGCTTATATCTTTAAAAATGTCAATAGTTCACAAGATACAATGCAATTTCTTAATTATTGACATTATTTAAGATATTAACTCATTTTGATATTACACTCATCAAGACCTTTTATTTGAGTACCCACATGCATTTTTATATATTTTTCATATATACATATATATAATATATATAAATATATAAAATATATAAAAAAAATTGATGTGGGTACTCAAATAAAAGGTCTCGATGAGTGTAACATCAGGATGAGCTTATATCTTAAAAAATGTCAATAGTTCTCAAGATACAAGGCCATTTTTTAATTATGTACCCAAAGATAGAGTTTTTACATTAATAAATTCTCTGTAAAATTTTTTTTTTCCAGCGCTGGAACCAGAAAATTAAAATAAAATGTCTATTAAATTAATTACCGATAAGGCGTTAACTTTAAATCCAAATTTTCTCTTCTCAGTAATTTATCCATCAGCGCAATTGTTTGTAAAATCAACTGATCTTGTCTTAAATCATCTCCGTATTTAAATATTGCTATGTACTCAGTATTATTCGTTGTAAGAAAAGTCAGCTTGGATGGCATCAACGCTGATTTAAATAAACTTGCTCTAGAAAATATACAATTAATTAAATGATCAATAATTAATTAATTAATTAATTAATTTATTATTGACTTACTTATCAGGAATAATTCCCTTAATAGAAATTTCCGGATCAAGCGGAAAAGGTATAGGTTCAAAATTAGAAAAATTAATTTTAAAATTTTGATCTTGCTCAGACAGCAAAGCCTTCAGACGATCAGTTTTGCGCTTCCTGTTGCCGCTTTCACGAGCAACTACCTTCACCAGAGCGACTAATTGATCAATAAATAATTTTTGGCGAGCCAAAAAAGCTTTCCGCTTTTGCCAGATGACGTTCCCTTGAGTGAGAGCCATCGAGAACATCTTCATCACTGTGACATACATTTCTCTGACCCTCGTGTCTTGTTTGACAGTTATCGCAGGGTCTGGTTGGTCTTCACACTCAATTGCTAGGTACCAGTATAAGTAATTAGCCAGGGTTGAATTTTGACACGCCCGGGTTATTAAAAATGATGCTAGGTCCATTGGAGACTCTTGACTAGATGATGATTGGTTTGTTTCTGATTCACTAGACTAAAAAAAAAATAATTGTAATTATTGATAATTAAATAAATTGAAAATTAAATTAAAATATATCAAACAAATATAATTAATTAATTTAATTTAATTAATTAAAAAAAATTAAAAATTGAATACAAATCTATTAAATTAATAAATAAATTAATTTAATTAACTAAAAAAAAAAAACGAATTAAAAATTAAATTAAAATAAATTAATTAATTATAAAAAAACAAGTTAAAAACTAAATAAAAATATATTAAAAAAATTATATTAATTAATTAAATAGATAAATTAATTAATAAAATTAATTAAATGAAAAAAATCTACCGTAGACATAGAATTGTTTGAATGCTCAGGTTTTTCCATCCTCTCAATTTTTTCGCTCTCGCGAACAATCTTCAAATTAGCTGCTTTTATACTCTCAAAATTCTCGTACTTCAACGCTTGAACCAGCTGCAGGAGATAGAGCATGAGGTCATCGTCATTAGCCTGGTTTAATCTTGCTATTGCGTATCTTCTGACAGCTGGGTGAGTAAAGGCTGGTCCGAGAAGCTCAAGAGCGTCTTCTGGGTCCGGAGGACTCCAACTGGCAAGCATTTCTAAAGCTTGACGCTCCTCCCCGGCTACTTTCCAGTTCACGCACTTGACAAATTTAGTCAGTGCTTTTTTTTGGGTTGATAAATAGTACCGGAACTTCCAGATTAAATCTTGCTCCTCTGTTGTCAGGGCAGTTGTTGGTGGATATCCTAAAATTAATTGTTTTAGTAATTTTTTTTTTAAAGTCCCCAAACTAGTGTCTTAAATATTCAAAAAATTATGATAAAATTTTGCCTCATGAAATAATGAATTTTGTTAAATTGCACTGTACATTCTTAAATATTGACGTTTTCAATGATATAAGCTCATCCCGATGTTATACTCATTGAGAGCTTTCATTTGAGTACCCACATGCATTTTTTTATATATTTTTCAGATATTCATATATATATATATATATATATATATATATTTTTAAGATATAAGCTCATTCTGATGTTACACTCATCAAGAGCTTTCATTTGAGTACCCACATGCATTTTTGATATATTTTTCATATATTTATATATATAATATATATAAATATATAAAATATATGAAAAATTGATGTGGGTGCTCAAATGAAAGGTCTCGACGAGTACAACATCCAGATGAGCTTATATCTTAAAAAATGTCAATATTTCCCAAAATACAATGTAATTTCTTAATTGTTGACATTTTTTAAGATATAAACTCATTTTAATGTTAAACTCATCGAGACCTTTCATTTAAGTACCCACATGGCATTTTTGATATATTTTTCATATATACATATATATATATAATATATATAAATATATAAAATATATGAAAAATTGATGTGGGTACTCAAATGAAAGGTCTCGATGAGTGTAACATCAGGATGAGCTTATATCTTAAAAAATGTCAATATTTCCCAAGATACAATGTAATTTCTTACCTAAAATAGTATTCAAGGCATCCCGAACACTAGAAGTAGGTTTAACTTCCCTAGTATTCCCACCACTGCGCAAACTACGCGCCAACTTATGATGTTTAGCTTCTACAAGATTTTCCGCCAGAATTTCATAATCCGGAATGGTAACAACATCCGGCTGAGCTCGATGCTGAACAACTTCATCTCCATCTTTCTCATAGTAAACAATTGAGTACGGCAATCCGTCCATAGTAACCTCAGGAAATTCCACAGTGAGATACAAGTAATTAGACTCTCTCTTCTCGCGCTCATTGATCACTTCAATCTCGCGGAACGCCAAACGATCCAGCCAGTCGACACGTGGCATCTGTCCATTGCGACGTTTTTTAGCGAGCTTGGCGAGTCTTTGCATCTGCTCCTTCCCAGCATCTCGGGCTTTTCCTTGAGTAGTTGTGGGGACTGAGCCATCTGCTTCAACATTCGGCCAGACTCTTAGGTCCAGCATTCCCTGGCGGAAGACTCCGTGCTTTCCGAAGAGCGATATCGTCGTACCCCCGACGGCTATCTGTCGACCCGGGCCAGCGCAATCGTAAATTGTTATTGCCAATTGCGCGTCTCGCGGCAAGTCTGAGTATGATATTGGCAGGGTCACCCATTGGTTCCAGCTGTTTGTAATTTTTATATCATTTATTTATTTTTATTTTATTATTAATATATAAGCTGTATTACTAATGAAAAATTGTAATGATATTTAATTTATCTGTCACTTAAAAATTTTTTTAACTTTTTTTTAAATCAATTTTGGAAAAATTATTAAAAAAATGAACTTGTAGAAATTTAATGAAAATTAATTTAGCAGATATTTTATAATTTTTTTAATAAATAAATTATGTCAAAGAAAATGAGAAAAAAAAATTGACATTTAGAAAATTATAAAAATAAAAAATGCAATTTTTTAAAAATAATTTTTCAGAGCAAATTTTTTTTTAAAGAAAATTAAAAAATTTTAAATGTAATAAAATTATCCGAGAAGAAATCTAAATAATTTAGTTTAAAGTTTGAAAATTATAGATTAGAAGCTGTATATATTACACAATCTTAAAAAACTGCAAAAAAAAATTTTTTTTTTCTTCCTTAAAAATTAATTTTGAAGTGAAAAATTTTTTCAAGTTTTTATAATTAAAAATTAATTAATGATTTTTTTTTGAAGTTTAAAATTAAATTTCATAAAATCATTTTGATTTCAACAAATTTTTTTATCAGTGCAGGTCATTTATTTTATTTTATCACTTTAAATAATTTTTATATAAATATAAACTTACTTCCAGCGTACAGAAAAATGTTTGTACGCGGTATGAACAGGCAGTGCAAGGGGACGACCACCACCCCAAATTTGTAAGGATGCTGCCAAGTCTCCTCTTCCACCTCCTGCTCCGTATAGTCCAGAGAATTTAATCATCGGGTCTAATAATAATTTATCATACTCTGGGCGTTGTCTTACACCTTCTAATGTGCCTCTTAAAAAAATAATTTATATAACAATTAGTTTACATAATCTTGGGGATTAAAATTTTAATAATTAAAATTAAATTAACCATATGTTGTCTAATTAATTTATATTTATAAAATATAAATAATTTATGACACTAAAATCAGCTGATCAATTTTTTTACATTTTTATTTTAAATTAATTACGATAAAAAAAATATTTTTTTTAAGTTTGTTCACAATTTTTTTTTTTTTCTACAAGTGGAATTTTTTTTTGACACTAAAGTCAGCTTACAGCTGTCAATTTTTTTAATTTTTATAACAAACTAATTCTATTAAAATAATTTTTTTAATTTTCACAATTAAAATTATTTAATTGCAATAAAATTATAAAAAAATATGACATTAAAGTTAGCAGTCACTTAACAATTTTTTAATTTTATTTAACAAACAAAATTTGTGCCAAAAAATCATTTTTAAAAAATTGTATTTTTTATTTTTTTTAATTTTTACATGTCAATTTTTTTTTTATAATTTATTTGTTATAGAATTTTAAAAATTATTAAATTAATTTTAATTAAAAAAAATTTTCAGTTAGCTAACATGAGTGTCTTATTTTTAAAAAAAATTTAATTGTTGTAAAAGTTGTAAAAATTTATAAAATGTCTGATTTTATTGTTATAAAATTAAAAAAAAATAATTTATTAACACTTACATTTTTATTTGTATCCTAGTGTCTAAAGATGAACTATAAACATATGAAAATTTATCATTAATGTTATCCATTATTAATTACATAAATAACACACTGATTAAATAATAAATTAATAATTCTTTAAACTAATTATTTATTTTTATATTCAATTTATTATTTATTAAAAACAAAACCATCTGTCACAATCAGCTGTTACATTGCACTGTTATTTATTTTACTTGTCAAAGATTAAATTGTTATTTATTTTCTCCGCAAGATGGCGCCACAAGCCAATTTTTTAAATTTTATTATTTATTTTAAATCACGCGCGCTTTTTTAAAAATTTACAGACAGCGCCACTGCGGTAAAAAACTTAACTAATAACTCCAAAATTAATCCGCCATTGTTATAATGATAATAATAATAAATAATAATAACAGTTATTGTTATTTTTCGAATAAGAGAGGAAATACGTGTATGATATGTATTTGTTGAAAAAATAAATTACTTAAAAGGAAATGTGTAAGTATCTAAACTCTTAAAAACTGTAGGCGGTATTTTTACTACAACACTTAATTATCTTTAGTATAAATCGTTCAATAAGAGTGCAACAAGTTTATAGACTATTAAAGAACTTGAAACGTGTTAAGTCTAAAAGTAACTTATAATGTAAGTACACTCTATTTTAAATAATTATAAATATTCTATGGTATGTTTATTAAAAAAATTTATTTAAAATATTCAGGCTGCGTCAAATTATATTGTTGCTGCTCTTAATATTAAACCGGAGTTTTTGTGATGATTATTATGAACTACTGGGGCTAAAAAGGACGGCTAATGAAAAAGAAATAAGACAAGCTTTTAAAAGAATAGCTGTCAATTCTCATCCTGATAAAAATCCTGTGAGTATTTTTTTATATTTTATTTTATTTTGACATATAAAAATAATTATATTTAAATCAGCAGATTTTTTTAATTATTATTTTATAAAAATTAATTTAATAGATATTTTAAAATTGACATTTAAAAAATTTTTTTAAATTAAAAATGAAATTTGTTTCTTGAATAAAATTAAAAATTGACTTTAATGTCATTTTATTTATTAACAATTTAAGCTGCATTAAAAAATGGTCTATCTCTAGATACATAATTAAGAAATTATCTTGTATCTTGAAAACTATTGACATTTTTGAAGATATAAGCTCATTTCGATGTTACACTCATCGAGACCTTTTATTTGAGTACCCACATCAATTTTTCATATATTTTATATATTTATATATTCCACAAATATTATATATATGAAATATATATAAAATGTCATGTGGGTACTCAAATGAAAGGTCTTGATGAGTGTAACATCGGGATGAGCTTATATCTTTAAAAATGTCAATAGTTCACAAGATATTTATGAAAATGTCCTGTACTTTCTTAACTATTGATGTTTTTAAAGATATATAAGCTCATCCCGATGTAACTATATATATATATATATATATATATACGCAAGGTTGCTAGTTTTGGTATTATTAAAAATAATAATATTTATTTTAGGATGATCCAGAAGCTCATTCAAATTTTTTAAAATTTACAACAGCATATGAAGTACTAAAAGATCCAGAATTAAGAAAAAAATATGATTTATACGGTGAAGAAGGCCTTAACAATGATCAATTTCAACGACAAAATTATCACTCTTGGAGTTATTACCAAGATAATTTTGGAATTTACGACGACGATCCACAAGTCGTGACATTGAACACTAATGACTACGGTAAAAATAACCCAATAAAATTTTTATCTTCTAAATTATTTTTAGGTTTATTTTTTAACCAGCCTTTTTTTTTTATTTAAGATGACAATGTGGTAAATAGTGAAAAAATCTGGATGATTAATTTTTACTCGCCAATGTGCAGTCACTGTCATCACTTGGCTCCAGATTGGCGAAAAATTGCCAAAGATTTTGAAGGTATTATTCGTGTTGGTGCTGTTAATTGTGAAGATGACTGGAGATTGTGCCGAAGACTTAATATTCAAGCTTATCCTACTTTATTGTATTATCCCAAGGTATTAAAAAAAAAAATTAAAAAAAAAAAAAAAAAAAAAATTTATAATTAGAAAAAAAAAATTTTTATCTAGAAAAAAAAAATTCTATTTAGAAAAAAAAAAAAATTAATAATATATTATTGTAGAATTCTCAACATGGAACGAGATATGGTTACCAAAAAACTTATGAAAAATTATCAGAGTTTATTATGGAAAGATTGGACGTGAGTATCCAAACATTATCAGCTTCCAAGTGGAAACAATTGATTAAATTACTAGACAGTAAAAATAATGATTATTACAAAAATGATAAACCATTGTTGGTATTCACTTGTGGTATAAATCGCAATTGTTTTGATTATGATGATCAGTTAAAAATAACTGCTATGTTCGTAAGTATTTATTTTAAAAAAATTTATTTTATTTTAATTTACTAAATGAGTAAAATAATTTTTATAAAGTAATAAAATTTATTAATTTTTTTATTTTAAATTTATAGGAAAATATTATTGACACAGGTATTGTTGATTGTAATAATAATTGTAATAAATTAATGTCAACTACTGGAGCAGTATTTATAAATAATATTAAAAATAATGATAAAAAAAATTTTATACTTTTTAATGATTTAAGTAGTATTGATGAATTTGTACATGATATTTTGGATGAATTACCGGAGCCTCAAGAAATTTCTCAGGATTATTTTAATGTAAGCAAAAAAATTTTAATTAACTTAATTAAAATTGAATTCATTAAAATTAAATTAATTCAAGTTGAATTAATTAAAATTGGAGTTTAAAAAAATAAAATTTATATTTTTAGGATATTAAAGAAAAATTAGAAGAAAATGAAAATGAAAATGGGTGGTTGGTGTGTTTTTACATCGGACATGCTACTGATTTAGATTTACAATTGAAGAAACTCCCGAGTATAATTACCGATGTTAATTTAGGAAAACTAAATTGTGGAAAATACAGCTCACTATGCTCTAATCTTAACATCAATAGATACCCGATGTGGGGAGTTTTGAAGCCTGGAGGAGCTTTTGAATTGAGTCACGGTAAAAGTACACTTAATGACGTCGCCAAGTTTGCTGAGAACAGTATCAAAGCTCAGAATGTCGCTGCACTAAGTGCTGAAAAAATTATTTCTATTCTTAAGAGGAAAAATGGTAAATATATTTAATAAATTCAAAAATGCTCTATTTCAAGATACATAATTAAGAAATTACCTTGTATCTTGAGAACTATTGACATTTTTAAAGACATAAGCTCATCCCGAGGTTACACTCATCGAGACCTTTCATTTAAATACCCACATCAATTTTTCATATATTTTATATATTTATATATTTCGCGAATACTATATATATATATATAAATATATAAAAATACCATGTTGGTACTTAAATGAAAGGTCTCGATGAGTATAACATTAAAATGAGTTTATATCTTAAAAAATGTCAAGAGTTAAGAAATGACACTGTATCATGTGAACTATTGACATTTTTAAAGATATAAGCTCATCTTGATGTTACACTCATCGAGACCTTTCATTTGAGCACCCACATCAATTTTTCATATATTTATATATATTATATATATCTATATATGAAAAATATATCAAAAATGCATGTGGGTACTCAAATGAAAGCTCTTAACGAGTGTAACATCGAGATGAGGTTATATCTTTAAAAATGTCAATATATCAACAGATATAACAGTCACGTAGTGACTGTAAGGTTGTTAGTCAAATTTTAAATAAATTAATAATTAAATTTTAGGTAAAGAAGTATGGTTTTTGGATTGGTACGCTCCATGGTGTCCACCATGTATGCAATTTTTGCCAGAACTTCGTAAAGCTTCAATGCAATTTAAAAAATCAGTCGTTCAATTTGGTACTATCGACTGTACAGCCCATGCTGAGATCTGTAGACAGTACAACATACGTTCATACCCAACGGCAATGTTGATAAACGGTACCACAACGACACAATTTACCAATCAAAAGACTGCCGCTGGGATAATTGAGTTCCTTAATGAAGTTGTTAATCCCACTGGTAATTAGTTTTTTTAATTATATATTTATCATTATATTGATATTTATCATTATATTATTTTTATTATTATATTTTCATTATTTTTAAACAATGTTATTTTCAGTGATAAAATTAAATAGAAATAATTTTCATAAAACCGTGGGTAAAAAGGATGACGAAACACTGTGGGTAATTGACTACTTTGCACCTTGGTGTGGACCCTGTCAACAATTAGCTCCTGAGTGGACGATTGTTGCCAAGAATTTGCATTTATTAGATAATGTCAAGGTCGCAAGTGTTGACTGTGATGCTAATGGAGAACTATGCCGCGAACTGGGTGTGCGTAGCTATCCTACTATCAGGCTTTATCCGTTTGGTAGCATAGGATTGAATCGAGTTGCGTAAGTATGATAAATGTTTTATTATTTAAAAAATAACAAATATTGATTAGGCAGCAAGATATAAACTCATGCCGATGTTACACTCATCGAGACCTTTCATTTGAGTACCCACATGCATTTTTATATATTTTCCATATATACATATATATAGATATATAAAATATATGAAAAATTGATGTGGGTACTCATATGAAAGGTCTTGATGAGTGTAACAGCAGGATGAGCTTATATCTTTAAAAATGTCAATATTTATTTTATTTAAGGATGTTTAATGGCCAACGAGATTCAACATCGCTGATGCAATGGATCACAAGCTTCTTCCCCACGAGAATAAAGACTTTTGACGAGGAAAAATTGCGCAAGAAAATATTCGAAAGCAAGAGCAAAAGTAAAAACAAGAAAGACTACTGGCTGATAGATTTTTACGCGCCTTGGTGTGACCACTGCCAAAAATTAGAGCCTCAGTTCGCCATAGCTGCCCAATTGCTTCGCAACAGCTCCATCGGGTTCGGAAAGTTCAACTGCGATACTTTTGGAGCCGAGTGCAATCAACTCGGGATCCAAGCTTATCCAACGTTGATGCTCTATACTTCTAAAAATAACCGGAGTGGCATTGAAATTACCTCCCAAAGCGCTCAGGATATTAAAAATAGTATTTTAAATTTGATAAATAAAAATTCTAAACTACATGATGAACTGTAGGATAGTTTTTTTATAATTTATAATAAACACAATTATTACCGAGATATTTGTTTTTATTTGTTCAATACATCCAATTAGTAAACAGTCTTACAATTTTTTATTCAAAAATTTTTTTGTTAATTATTTTCTATATTATTGAGACAATAAGAAAAATTTTGTCTCAAGGATACATATTTAAGAAATGACCTTGTATCTTATGAAATATTGGCATTTTTAAAGATATAAGCTCATCCTGATGTCACACTCATCGAGACCTTTCATTTGAGTACCCACATCAATTTTTCATATATTTTTCATATTTATATATTTCACAAATACTATATATATAAAATATATGAAAAATGCTATGTGGCTAGTCAAATGAAAGGTCTCGATGAGTATAACATTAAAATGAGTTTATATCTTAAAAAATGTCAATAATTAAGAAATGACATTGTATCTTGTAAAATATTGACATTTTTAAAGATATAAGCTCATCCCGATGTTACACTCATCAA